AGAGAGAGAGAGAGAGAGAGAGAGAGAGAGAGAGAGAGAGAGAGAGACTACAACAAATAAATTGATTTGAAAATGAAATTAGAAGATTTGTGGTTTGTGATTATCATAAAACGGAGATTTGTGCGTCTGTCGGAGATCTTTGGTCAATTACACCCTGAACACTTATCATCGATTCATAGATGAATGCGCAAATTGTTGGCTCTTGGATAAATAAATGCAGTACTGTATATTTATATCGTCTGATACACATGGAACCTTGTCATTATGTGGTGGAATAACAAATGAAGCCGAACCAACAACCAATTCATGATTGTAAATGTCTAGAAATCAAGGTATACCGATTAATCTATGAGCATTTTCGAAAACTTATTTCCATTGTTCGTTTCGATTGACCGCAAATGGAATACGCGTCTAAACTTTGAAAATATGAGAGGATTATTATTTTCAATTTATGAACGAAATTTCGTTTTAAATGGATTTTTTAAATGCCGTTCTGACTACTAGTTGCAAGTGATTTTGTTTTCTTCCTTTTGAAAATGAAAACAAAGGCATCGTACTTCAATCAATTCTCACATTGATTTCAGCGTTCACTTTGAAGTGGCCATTCAATTTTTGGTACAACTCACAGCATGGATCATTGATGTTCGATTAAATTACACAAGTTTTGCCTGTTAATCACAATCGCCTATACAGTCTGGCATTCCAAAAAGCTCTTGTACATTGTGATTCCGTTTTGGATCAGAGAACTTTACGTTTATAGTGCAATTTAAAGCTCAGCATTTCAAGTATTTTTCACCCAATTATCCGACATGGGTTATATACCATTGAACACGAAGTGGCCAACTTCCAAATGAAATACGGAACATCCGTTTTATTCCCCTTTTCGATATTTCTGTTAAAAAACAATTCAACAGAGAAAAAAAATCCCAACATCAACATAAATGCAGCCCTTTTTTCTCGCTGTCGGCTGACTTTTCAATAGCAAAGGTACATACGATGCTTGTAATAATTCAAAGTGAGACTCAAAATGGATTTTTTTTTATATTTATCGCTTTGTTCCGCCGGACAGATACACTGACGCTCAAAGACACAACATACACAAAAAAATGAAAAATAAAATAAAAAAAATCAAACGAACAAACGAACCAAACGACGACGGCTATTCTACATATTTATTTAACTGGTTAATTTATGACCTACCTGTTGGATTGAATCGGTGGAGTCGCATACGGTACGCCCAAAAATGCTTCGATCGGACGTAAAAATTTATAGCTATCTAATGGCAAGATGAGCCCTTGCAGTCGACCGTATCGTGTCTGCACGATCCTCGTGCCGAGCCGAGCATTTTTGTACAAATCTAATGTGGAGCACGTTGCCAACTTAATAACAACCAATTGGAACAATAAAATCAAACCACACAATATTTTCATCGCATTTAACACCATTTTCATAAATAGTTTTTTTACTTTACGTTGCTGCTGCTGATTGTTGTTTATTTTGTTTTGCAATACACTTTAAGTTTTATTCTCGGGGTACTTTTTAAATGTTTTTTTCAATTTTTTATTGAGGTTTTTTTTTCTTTATTCTTTCATTTTTGTTGTTGTTTTGTTTTAATTTAATTTGACAATTTTATTGGCAATTTCAGTGGTATCATTCGTACCAACACATTTTTTGGAATAAAGTAGTCATGAAATGGTTTTCATTGGCTGAAATTATTTTATCGACTGTGAAAAACGATTCAATTTTCCAGCGCGGCAATAAATACTTGACAGATGTGTAATAAAATAGTTGGCAATGACGGTGTCGCCGTTGGCGTTGAATTCATGCGCGTTTATTCCAATGGAAAAATTCAATTTTACATTATAATTATTCGAATTTCACGTTTTATTTTATTCTTTTTTTTGCGTCCCTTTTTTCACAGAAATGTCTACGGTTTTTTTTCTTTCTCTCTCTCCCACGTTTTATTCAGAAAAAGTATTGAACTTTCGTTGGGTACGAGTGATGAAAAATGTACATACACAGACACACACTTTGCAATCAAAACGGACTGTATTCACTTCAATTTCAAGCGAATTTGGTTTGCATTGCCGGTATGAATGAAGCTTTTGAAAAGAAAGAGTGTATGGAGACAGCGAACAAGCGAATGAATGCGGGTAATTAGTATTTATATTGTTCAAAGTTAACACATTTATTTGCACACCGTTGAATTTCACATGCAATTCGGTAAGTGCTAAAACACGGCGGCAATGAGTGCATAAAAAATTGAAACATTCACCGTCGCAAGTTGATGGTCCTTTACTTTTCACGGGCTATACTTTTTTTATGTTCGCTGTGAATTTGCTCCAAGTGTAATTTAGTACATTGCACATTAGTTCAATCATTCTTTTATGTGTTCAGTTCGTGTTGTTCATTCGTCCGGCGTTTTTTTTTCTCTCGTTCTTTGCTTCGTTTGTCTCGTTCTGCAGTTGCAAGTGAAACTTAACGGTGGCTATACCAAACCGTTGGGGCGATAATGGCAATGAATTCCTTTCAGTTTGGTTGTGTGTGTTTTTTTTCGTCTGTTTTGTTCTTTCGTTTTCTTTTTCTCCGTGTGTCCGTTTTTCGTGATAGACTTTAATGGTAATGTCGCACTGGTGCTTTTTGTATTATTGCCACTGACTGCTGTGGGTAATCATTAAAATCTCAGTGCGCTGATGATTTTTTTGCTCACCGTTGTTATTGCTGCTGTGTTGTTTGCACAGAAACATTTTTCATTTCACGTTCATTTCATTCTTTTCGTTTCATTTCGATATGGAACCTTTTCTCGCTCTTTTTTTGTTTGTTTGTTTCGGCGTTGGTTTAGGTCAACAATTTTTTTTGTGGCTGATGATAATCCGCTCTTGGCGATACAAAGTTTTGTAAAAATCCACAACACACAAATAATTGATTCAGTTGTGGTCGTTACTTTTATTCGCACGTTCTTTTATGAAGTATATTTTTTAGTCTGTGCGGTGCAGTTTTTATTTGAAAAAATAATTTTGTAATGCAGCCGATGACGGGGGTAGCCTGACGTTGCTTCACGTTCAAATTAACGTATGTTTACAAAGAAATGGTGTAGGATAGACCTCAAACACCTTCAACTTTGTTTATTCAGTGTCGCAACACGTCTCGTCCTTTCGCTGTCTCGATTGCTCTTACTTTCTCTCGAAAAATGACCACAAAGATGCAGGTCAATGTTGTGAACGAAGTTGTGAGAGTGATCTTGTTATCCGTGTGAACATCATGATTGTAATGTTTTTATTAGCGCCTCAAATTAATCACCGTTGATAAATAGACGCGTGACAAAGCATTCAACGTGTTCTGGCTGAATTTTTTTTTGTTTCGGTTGTTGTTGTCACTCTCGTAAATCTTTCAGTTCTTTGTTCAAATTTAATACATGGCAGCCATTAACCTTTTGCAAATGCTCATTGTCATTAGCAGCAATGTAATTAACCAAACGAAATGTTCACATAATCGAGCACTTGATGTATTAATTCAATCGTTTTTTTGTTCATGTATTTTGCATTCTGTATTTGTATGCATTATTTTCGTGAGCACTCATCAATCTATTTTCGACAAGTGCATAATTTTATGCTATATGTTTTCGATGAGACCAAAAAAAAAACAGACACACACACAAAAATATATTTATTAAACGCCTCTTGATTTAATTGCGCCCGCAAATTTTAATTATTCAATTTTAATTAAAACCGTTTTGTAATTTATCGCTCAACAGCTATTTTTCACTAATATGATAATAATTTTTGTCGATTTTGCAAATTGATTCGGCATGTATGCTATTGTCCGCAGTTAGTTAGTTTGATGGATCGTTATTATGCGAATTTGTATTTCTTGTGTTGAAAAAAGTGTTGGAATAATTACTAAAATGTTCTATTAATGATTAGCGATGTGTTGTTTATGATGTGAAACTTTGCGTAATTGATTGAATTGGTCCGGTATCAAGAGAGGAAATCATCTACCAAATCTCGGTGAGTAAGTTTTTTTTGGAGAACACGAATGCCAATCAAAATTGTCCCAATATAAGATTGACGATGACAATAGATTGATGGCTGAACCCAAACCAAATGTGTGATGATTAAATCGATAGTTGAAGTCTCGCCTTGATTGTTTTTATCTCTTTCACACAATGTTTCCCTTTTTTCGTTTGGTAATTGATACACTCATTTATTAATACTTGAGACTTTTTGTTCGCTCTGTGTCGCACCGAAAATAATTTATGGTTTGTGTAATCAATTAGAGTACAAGATACTTTTTTATCAATTCTCTCTTTTTTCTCGCCCGTTGGGAATGCGGTGCGGTGCGTAGATAAAAATGTACAAATTTTGTTAATGTCAATAACAAAAAGGGCATGTATTGACTGATATGCAGACCAAAAATTCGAATACGCGTTTTGATAAATCACCTCTTTTGTTTAACACTCACTCTCGCGAACACACAAGCGCACACCAAACAGTTTTTTTACTCTTGTAATTTTTTCATCATTGGCTCGAAAAGTTGCAATTTTTCTCCATCGGTCCAATGATTCGTTACGAAAATGAGCGCGAGCGCAACCGAAATCAGATAATTTATTATTTTTTGCTCACTTCAGCGTAATAATCGTCGAACTTTTATTTGTATAATATTTCGCCTGGGAATTTGTTCAATGCCAGTCATTTACAGTGTTATTTTTTTCTTCTCCTTTTTTCATTTAATGCATGCTCATTTCCTGTTTTCGTTCGCTGACCGAGAATCAATTGAACGCATATCGTATGCCATTGTTCTACTGAATTTCCACTGGATTTTGTTTGTTGTCCGATTCAGATGCACTGTGTAATTCCATCAATTCTTCTCTTCTGTTCACTTGATTTTTGCAATTTATTTGAATTCATTTATTATTGATGGTATAATTGGCACCGCAGTTATTCATACCGTTGAAGTTATGTTGCGAAAGTATCAAAGCTATGTGGTTTACATGCGCTGTGTATTTAATTAAATCCTTGCATTCATATATCTCAATTCCAAATTTCGTGGAATTGAATTATTAAACATTTCAATTTCAGCTGGTATTCTACTCGATATCTGAAAATAAAATAAATCGAAACGAAAATACATATTTAGTGATTGATTTTACAGTGTGTTATTTAGAATACAGTTTATTAAATCGCATGAATGTAATTTTTCGGTTTTGTAACCAAAAATTGTGAAATACCAGCCAATGATTTTATGTGAAGAAGCGGGCGACGAGAGGTACAGTGAATGAATAAAGTTCCAAACAATTTAAAATGCTAATTAAAATCCGATGCCAATGGACTTGGTGAATTGTTTTTCATTGCATGTGATGACGAGTCCATATTGCAATTTAATCAGTGCCGCCGACAGACACGAAACATTTTCATTTGAAAAATTTAATACGCTGTTGTGTCGTAAACCATGAACGCGCATAAATTCACTTTTACAACGCATCCCGATCCCATCCATTATTCAAGTTGTTTAGCAAATTTTGCAACTTAATATGCACTTGATTGCAGCGCAAACATTCGCAAACGGTTAATAAGTGTACAATAACAGTAGCGATAATGAGCATCATATAACATTATCTCATGAATCTTATGAATACCAGTAATTAGAATCAAAGCGAAGCAGCAGCGGTAGCAGCGGCACCATTGAATATGCATGTGTATTGAAAGACATGGATGTGCGTTGATGTGCACGGCCAATGGAGATGGAAACAACGAAAAGCATATAATGTTTAGCATAACAAAGTGCAGAAAATCAAAAGAGCACATTAAAAACGACGTCGTATCTGCTATTCATCAAGCGATAATATTCAATTAGGTCTTTCTGAATTGCTGCCTTGATGATTAAGATGCAGCACAATGGGATATAATTACACAGTGACGTTGCATATAGTTAACGACTTAAAATATCCGTATTATAGTATGTGTGATGCTCTCAAGAGCTCTTGATGCTGCTTTTACTTGGGCCATTTGAATTCATTTCAACACGGTTCGACAAAACTTTCTAGTGCATTAAACCCGATACACCGGGGCCGCACACAAACCAGAGAAGAAGACAGTGATGGCCAACGACTTACGGCAAAGTCAAGTGGATGGTGGTTTTTAATATTACAAACGTGTCTCAGCCAAACGACACAAAAAAAAGATGGGGAATAATTCGCATTGGAACGGCTTAAGCTAGACGGCCGTATCATATGAACATGAATTTCATGAATAAAATTGCTTGTAAAAATTGATACGAATAGAAAAACAACGGTTCTCATGAAACTTCATTAAAATTACACGAATTTCATTTTATCTAAGTGACGTGTTCAACACCATCGCCCACATGCATAATTCGCATGTAAATTTTTGTCGCCAAACGTGCACCGAACAAAAAAAATGCACAAAGCATGTTTCTTTCATCGTCTCGTTCTCATTTCACAGTGCA